TATTTTTTAATAGTAATGACAATTAATATAATGTTGTCTACATTTTTTATATAGAAAAAAATATGTAGAGACAATTTATTATAGTTATCCAATCAACCTTTATATATACATGAGTATGTTGTGTATAATAAATTTTCTTCCTTCCGTTAAAGTGTCGAAGTAGCGTGTGAAGTTTCAAATTTCATATTATAAATAAAATAGTCTTTAATTTTAGTAACACGGACCTAATTCGTTCCTAGAGATAATGTTACAATTTGCATTGCAGTTACATAAAACTATAAGTTATATTATATAAGTTATGATATATTTGTACATGGTATATATGTTGTAAAATATTATATCATTTATGTTATAATATATATACACATATTAATAAATAATTTTGTGCATATATATTGTCTTTACGTGTAAAGTTATGATATATTTGTACATGGTACATATGTTGTAAAATATTATATCATTTATGTTATAATATATATACATATATTAATAAATAATTTTGTACATATATATTTTCTTTACGTGTAAAGTTTGAATAAATATTTCTTACATTATTTTTACGTGTCGCTACATATTTCTAATTTATTCGCGATATCCTACTTGGTAACAGACATTCAAAATTTGTTTGATTTTCACTTATATTACATATTGAAAATACAAATATATCTACCTGATACCACGAGAGGCACAAACATCAGTAAACATTCTATTAGTATCGTCCGAACAATCTTAGAATCGACAACTATTTAGTCTATACGAAATTTTCTTACTATCGTAAAAGTGCCGTGTTTCAAAAGCGTTATATATTTTTCCTTTAAAATTTGCATTATAGATAAAGTATTACTTGACAGTATTGGCTATACATAGATATATTGTTTGATAAATTACTTTTGTAGCTATCACATTCTTGCAAATAGCAGTTGTTGCATTATTTTAAACAATATAAGTTATCGATTAGTTTTAGATTTGTTCCAGTTATTAATATAAAATATATGGACGAAATATTCTATGTGTGAAAAGTCTAAAATTAGCAGTAACAGAAAGTCAAAATATTATGAATGTTAGTTTTTATCGCTTCTTCGGATAAATTCGAAATTATATTAGATCATGCTAACATTATAACGTTCATAACAAATTTGAGTATTATTTTTTAATAGTGACTAATATAATGTTATCGATATTTCTCATATAAAACATATGTGAATAATTTATTAACCCCTCGATTATTCTTTATATAGGTATAAGTATGTATAAAGAAATTTCTTTTTTTAAGACGTCGTTTTGTGTGTCAAATTCGAAATCTCGTATTATAAACGAAATAGTCTTCAATTTTAGTTATATAGGCGTAATTTTTTTCTGACAATGTTGTTACAAATTGCTTTGAAATTATACAAAATTATAAAATATAATACATTTATAAAATTATAAGATTATAATGTATATATAAAATTATAAGATATGTACACATATATTAATAAATAATTCTATATATATATGCATGTTATATATACGTGTTAAAATTTGAATAAATTACTAACACCATTTTCATCTGTCGCTACATATTCTGAATTTATTCGCGACATCCACTCGATAAGAAATATTCTAAGTATGTTAGATTTTCACATATTGAATATACAAATCTACATCTACGATGTCGCGACAGGCAAAAACATTAGTAAATACTATGTTAGTACTCTCCGAGCAATCTCGGGATCGACAACTATTTACTATACCGAATTCTATAGTCTGTACCGAATTTTCTTACTATCGTAAAAGTACCGTGTTTCAAAAGTATAATATATTTTTCTCATAAAATTCGCATTATAGATAAAGTATTAATTGACAGTATTGCCTGTCAACATACATTGGCTGTGTATACATAGGTAGAAATATTATTTTCAGAATAATGTTAGACTCTTTAACGAAATCCAAATATCTGGTTATAATAAGTTCTTCCATCCCAACATTTGTCATATTTGTACAGAAAGAAACATAAGTTTGATGTTATGTTAGGGCTGTACCATGACCTATTACTGCAGCGAGAAGTACAGGATGGAGCAGCTACCTCAGCACGAGGGGATATGCAGCGTTATAAAAAGAATAAGCATGATAAGAAACTGCTGGGGACTCGTGGGATGACGAAAAACGAATGGATTATACATAAAAAGCAGAATGTGCAAATTGTCCAGCGATTCTACGTCGCAAATTGAAGCAAATTGACGAGGAGCAGACATTCTTGTTCGCAAAATCAATGTTTGTTACCACAACTTAGAAGTCACTTGTCTGCAATGCTTCTCCATCAAAAAGTGTGGTGGACAGAATTCAATTATGATTCAATACAGTTGTGACCTTATTATTGCGAAAATCTTTGTTTCTGAACATCGATAATATGTATATGTAGAAACCAAGCATGAAAGTTTCGCTATGAAATCTACATAAAGATATGTACGATGTAAATGGAAATTATAGCATGGAATTAGAGAATACGAAAAGAAGAAAAAGCATAATTGGGGGATTAATGATTACATCGTACATTCCAATTCCATATCGAACCCGTTGACATTATGTTATACGATGCTACATCTGAAGTTGATGGCATTATAAAGGAAATCGAAGACATTGTCTTACATATTAACGATATAAGTTTAACGGACATGCAAAGTTTGTCAGCTTGGGAAATTCCACTGCATGTTCCATTCTCATCAACAAAAATAACAATTATAATGATAGAAGATTGAGGAATGATATAGGACACATTTTTCCTAAATAATATATAATTTTCGATGATGAATTAAATATGAATTTGTAAGATATTACGTACTCTCTCCTTTTTCTCTAACAATCAATAATTTATTGTAAATTAACCTGAATAGAAATAGGCGAAGAAATAGGCTAAAAAAACATGTCATGTTAATTTACAACAAAGTATTGGTTGTTAGAGCAACAGAAGAGTGTATGGAATATCATACAAATTAATTTAATCGATTGCAAGTGTTATTTTACGGATACACATTTTTATTTTAATATATTTCGCTTAAATTTCTAGCATGCATTTTCTCTCGCTTCTAATGTCATTAAAACGTGATAGACAATGCAAGAGGCCAGAAGGCTTAAGTACACTTCAGCAATTTTTTGTGGGACAGGATATATAGTTAACACTAGTGCATATGGAATAGAATAACTCCAAATTAGAAAGATTTCAATCGTATTTCACTCTTGATTTCAGACAATTCATCATATCGATGTATTGAAATCTCCTTCACGCCTCAATCTATAACAAAATTATATTATCATCAAATAACATGACCCTTGAAAACAATGAATCTTGTAACTTCGTTTCTTTTCCTATTGTTTGTAATGGCAAAGGTAATTCAAGTGTACCCAATTAGTGGAACACTTTATTTGCTTAAAAGAGCCTCACGCAATAGCTCCATAACCTGCAGAGCCTGTAAATTATCATAAATTAAATTTAATTAATTAATTGATATAAATTATGTCTGTGTCAAATATATATCCACGCAAAATTTTCTATACAGCGTGTCCCATAATGATAAATAAATCTCGGAAGGAGTGAAAGAAGATGGAATTTTTAATTAAAAATTCTTTTTCCACTTTTGGCTCAAGCCATTATTTACCGATTTATTAACTCTTGAAGTTTCCCAATGAGAAGGCGCGCTACCATATTACGCAAGTGCGTCGCGCACCGTGTTACCCCTCGTCCTTGCCCGGGTTACATTGCTTCTGTTAAAATTTTGCCAAATTCATTAATATATGAATAAATAAATAAAAACAATTAGAAATCGATCAACTAATTATTTTGTATGAAAAAATTATTCATATTGTCCGAAATTAATAAATACAGAAATAATTCATGTCAATTGTGCCTTTTTACGTTTCTTATTTATTTTATTTTTATTTTTATTATTTTTTTTTTTTAATTTTTTTTTCTTATTTATTTTATTTTTATTTTATTTATTTATTCATGTATTAATGAATTTGACAAAATTTTAACAGAAGCAATATAACCCGGCCAAGAACGAAGGGTGGCACGGTGCGCGACGCACCTGCGTAATATAGTAGCGCGCCTTCTCATTGGGAAATTTCAAGAGTTAATAACTCGGTAAATAATGGCTTGAGCCAAAAGTGGAAAAGGAACTTTTAGTTCAAAATTCCACCTTCTTTCACTTCTTCCAAGATTTACTAATCATTATGGGACACCCTGTATATATGTAGAAATCTTTCTGTGTGTTAATCTCTATTTGTTTCTTATATGACATATATCGGTAGCATATATCGAATACAATGTAAGTTTTATATTTAATGTACATATCTATACATATTGATATGTTCTTAATATCTTGACTGTGTGGTGAAAACGGGACTTCCGTACCACCAGTGAGTAAAAAAAGTTTCTTTCTTACAATTGCGCTACGATTTTAGTAATAAGATTTTCAAGTTCACTGAATCTGAATATGATATCAGAATTTCAAAATTCAAAATAGCGGATCGAAATATAAAAAAAAATCCCAATATTTTCTAATTTTTTATCCGCCATGTTGGATCTGTTATTTTGAAATTTTAGATTCAAATCTATTTATATTCAGCGGCCTCAAAAACCTCAGTACAATCATTTTTTATAAAAATACAATTATTTTTCAACCTTTAATACGCCATGTTGGATCTATTATTTTGAATTTTGAGATTCTGATATTTTACTGAATTCAGAGACCTCAAAAGCTGTAAGATACAAAGCTTCATCAAATCGCAAAAGGATAAACCGGTTTTTTTTAAAGATGTACATACATGTACATTACATACTGGTGGCACGTGTTTTTTCTATACACATATAATACATACACCCTCAGGGGTTAAAGTTTGTTCGCGACAGCCAACTTGGTAACGGATCCTCGTAGTCTGTTACACTTTCAAATAGACAACATATTGGAAATATAAATATATATACAGTCCCCTAACGTGCAGAAACATTAGTAAATATTATGTTATCCTCTGAGCACTCTTAGACTAAATATCTATCTAAATATCTAATTTAAATTGTCTATATTCTCACCTTTATAAAGGTGTTGAATTTCAAAAGTTTTATATTTTTCTCTTAATTCACATGATAGGTAAAGTATTATTTGGGAGTTACATAAAGACATATTGTTATGAATAATGGCAACATCTATTTACGGAACCAGAATTCTTCCTCAGCGTTATAATCACTTTTTTCATCCTAACCTTTGTCACATTTGCAAATACAAAAATCAAGAGTATTTGAAATTATGTTCGGGTTGTTCCATGATCTCTTACTGCAGCGAGCAGCACAGACTGCAGCATCAACCGCAACACCAGGAAATATGTGAAGCTATAAAAGAAATGAGTAGGACGAAATCTCTATGGATCACTCGTGGAATGACGGACGACGAATGGGTTAATTATAAGAAGGAGAATCTGCAGGATATCAAGACGATTCTATTTCGCAAATTGGAGCCGTATGAGGAACAGATGTTCTTGCTCGCAAAATCGTGCGGTATTTGTCACCAACAACGAGATTTGAAAACCGTTTGTATTAGATGCTTACATCTCAATTTGTGCGATGATCACAAGTCCATTCCCGTTGAACACAACTGTGTGCAATTGAGAAGATCTTTATTTTTGGATGTCTTCGAATACTTAGAGAAAAAAGATTTGAAAATACCGCCATACCATCTACCTTCTGTAACTGTGTGTGAAATGATTAAAAATGGTGGCACAGAAGCAATTGTTAACTATTACAAGAGAAGAATACGACTAAAAGATTGGAAATTCAGTGATTATATATACTCCAATGCCATATCGGGACCGTTGACAGTGACTTATATAATAAATCGTATAAAACCCTTGGCTTTTTGGAAGCCAAAGGAAACTCATGTCCTACACATTATAGCCGGAAGCTTGACGGATAAGCAGAGTTTGTCAGCTTGGGAAATGTTACTGCATATCTTATTTCCAGCAAAAAAAATATTAATTGTAATGATAGAACCAGGATTAAAAATTGATGCAGAAGATATAGGAGAATTCGACGTATGTGCAATATGCCATTCAATGAAAAAAGCATTAACTTTTCAAGTACACGATATGTCGTACAAGTCTTATGTGCAAGATAGTTCCTACATTTCACCAGATGTGATTATAGGATTCAATGTAGATGTTAAGGAATTAGGGGCAGACACTATAAAAATTTTACAGTGTCAGAAATGTCCGTTACTTCTCACGTCTATATCAAAATATGATATAAATCAAAATATATTGGAAATAAATAAGATACTAGAAATGAAACTAGGATATTGTGTGAATGTGAACAACAAATTTCAATCTCACAGACCATATAGAGACATAAAGAAAGACACATTTTTCCCTAATAAGTGTATAGTTTTCTATAATGCAGGATTAAATAAAAGAAGTTATGTTTAGTTTTATACGGTAAATTACATTTTTGCAAATGCATTATTGCAAATGGCAGTCGTTGCATCATATTAAACAAGAGAAATCAATTAGACCTAGATTTATTTCGACCATTGACATAAAATATTTTGACAAAATTATTCTATGTGTAAAAAGTCTAAATAATAGTAACAGATAAATATATTTAAATATATGCTAGAAATAATATTTACCTATTTACCGCTTCTTCGCATACATTTGGCTTTATATTAACTTGTGCCGAAATTATAACATTTATAACGAATTTAAGTACTATTTTTTAATAGTAATGACAATTAATATAACTTTTAATAGTAATGACAATTAATATAATGTTGTCTACATTTTTTATATAGAAAAAATATGTAGAGACAATTTATTATAGTTATCCAATCAACCTTTATATATAAATGAGTATGTTGTGTATAATAAATTTTCTTCCTTCCGTTAAAGTGTCAAGGTTGCGTGTCAAGTTTCAAATTTTATATTATAAATAAAATAGTCTTAAATTTTAGTTACACGGACCTAATTCTTTCCTAGAGATAATGTTACAATTTGCATTGCAGTTACATAAAACTATAAGTTATGATATATTTGTACATGGTATATATGTTGTAAAATATTATATCAATTATGTTATAATATATATACACATATTAATAAATAATTTTGTGCATATATATTGTCTTTACGTGTAAAGTTATGATATATTTGTACATGGTACGTATGTTGTAAAATATTATATCATTTATGTTATAATATATATACATATATTAATAAATAATTTTGTACATATATATTTTCTTTACGTGTAAAGTTTGAATAAATATTTCTTACACTATTTTTATGTGTCACTACATATTTCTAATTTATTCGCGATATCCTACTTGGTAACAGACATTCAAAATTTGTTTGATTTTCACTTATATTACATATTGAAAATACAAATATATCTACCTGATACCACGAGAGGCACAAACATCAGTAAACATTCTATTAGTATAGTCCGAACAATCTTAGAATCGACAACTATTTAGTCTATACGAAATTTTCTTACTATCGTAAAAGTGCCGTGTTTCAAAAGCGTTATATATTTTTCCCTTAAAATTTGCATTATAGATAAAGTATTACTTGACAGTATTGGCTATACATAGATATATTGTTTAATAAATTACTTTTGTAGCTATCACATTCTTGCAAATAGCAGTTGTTGCATTATTTTAAACAATATAAGTTATGGATTAGTTTTAGATTTGTTCCAGTTATTAATATAAAATATATGGACGAAATATTCTATGTGTGAAAAGTCTAAAATTAGCAGTAACAGAAAGTCGAAATATTATGAATGTTAGTTTTTATCGCTTCTTCAGATAAATTCGAAATTATATTAGATCATGCTAACATTATAACGTTCATAACAAATTTGAGTATTATTTTTTAATAGTGACTAATATAATGTTATCGATATTTCTCATATAAAACATATGTGAATAATTTATTAACCCCTCGATTATTCTTTATATAGGTATAAGTATGTATAAAGAAATTTCTTTTTTTAAGACGTCGTTTTGTGTGTCAAATTCGAAATCTCGTATTATAAACGAAATAGTCTTCAATTTTAGTTATATAGGCGTAATTTTTTTCTGACAATGTTGTTACAAATTGCTTTGAAATTATACAAAATTATAAAATATAATACATATATAAAATTATAAGATTATAATGTATATACAAAATTATAAGATATGTACACATATATTAATAAATAATTCTATATATATATGCATGTTATATATACGTGTTAAAATTTGAATAAATTACTAACATCATTTTCATCTGTCGCTACATATTCTGAATTTATTCGCGACATCTACTCGATAAGAAATATTCTAAGTTTGTTAGATTTTCACATATTGAATATACAAATCTACATCTACGATGTCGCGACAGGCAAAAACATTAGTAAATACTATGTTAGTACTCTCCGAGCAATCTCGGGATCGGCAACTATTTAGCTTATACCGAATTCTCTTATCATAATAGTGCCGAGTTTCGAAAATATTAAATATCTTTTTCTTAAAATTTACACACATTAGATAAAGCATTACTTGACAATATTGGCTATACATAGATATATTGTTTTCAGAATAATGTTTGAGTCTTTTTACGAAATCCAAACACCTGGTTATGATTATAATAAGTTCTTCCATCCCAATGTTTGTCACGTTTGCAAACAAAGAATCATAAATTTGACATCATGTTGGGGCTGTACCATGATCTCTTACTGTAGCGAGGAGCACAGGATGGAGCATCTACCTCAGCACGAGGAGATGTGCAGAGCTATAAGGAGAATGAGCATGATAAGGAACTGCTGGGACACTCGTGGGATGACGAAAGACGAATGGGTTATACATAAGAAGCAGAATATGCAAACTGTCCTGCCGATTCTACGTCGCAAATTAAAGCCGTACGAGGAACAGATGTTCTTATACGCAAAATCGTGCGGTGTTTGTCACCAACAACACAACCTGGAAATCACTTGTCTAGAATGCTTTTCCGTCAACCAGTGCAGTGATCATACTTTAATTGAGATTGAACACGATTGTCTGCAATTAAAAATATCTTTGTTTTTGGACATCGATGATAGCCTGCAGAAACCAAGCATAAAAATTTCGCAGTGTTTTCTACCTAAAGATATATATGATGTGAATGAAAATTACAGCATGGAATTACTCGTTGAACGATATAGGAAGCAAAACACAAAGGAATATAATTGGGAGATTGATGATTTCATATATTCCGACTCCATATCGAACCCGTTAACACTGTGTTATGCGATTCTATATCTAAACTTGTTTAAATTAATAAAGGAAAACGAAGCCATTGTCATACACATTATTGCCGGAAGTTTGACGGATATACAGAGTCTGTCGGCTTGGGAAATTATACTGCATATACTAGTTTCAGGAGCAAAATTGACAATTATAATGGTGGAATCAGAATTAAACAATGCTGATATCGGAGCATGGAATACATGTAAAGTGTGCCAAGCCTTGAATAAGACACTTCATTTTGAAATACATAGTATATTGTATGAACATTATATAAAATGTTCGTTTTATATGTCGCCGAATGTCGTTATAGGATTTAATGCAGAACTTAGGAAATTGGGGGCGAGCACTATAAGAATATTGCAGCGTCAGAATGTTCCGTTGCTTCTCACGGCTATATCAGCAAGTAAAGCACTGGACTGTAATGATAAGCTCAATGAGGTGCTGGGCAAATGCCCGTATCCTCGTTTTATCGAAAACACATTTCGATCTTGCAGACCATACAGAGATCCAGAGAATGATATATTTTTTCCTAATACTTACTTAATTTTCTATGATAATTTAAATTTCTTGTGATAAATTAAATTTAGTTTTATAGAATAAGTTAAGTCTTTATAACGATCATATTTTTGCTAATAGCAATTATTATATGTGAATGCATCATTCTGAACGATATACCAAGTAGATTAGTTTTGGATTTATTTCGGTCAACGATATAAGTATGTCTGGTCGAAGTCTCCTTTAAAAGAAAGTCTAATCAGCAGTAATGGAAAGTTGAGATTTTAGGATAATTTCTATCACAACTTCCCGTGTAGAAATTTGTTAAAGATACCTCCAGCCTTCTTCTTATGCCATTCTTAATAAACAAATAATTATTTATTAGGGATAATATATTTAAGGAACGTTTCCTTATTCAGATTAGGATCTTATCAAGGTTTTATATGAATGTTTTAATTTCATAAATACTTGTTTTAATAGACTAATTTTTTAAAATAAAAAAACGACTTATTGAAGATATATGTGTAAATAAGAGGAATTTAATAATATCTACTTTGCAAGTACAAAAGTATTAAGGTGAGCTTGTTGAAAAGTGAATAACTCACAAGATATTTCATATCTTGTGTACTAAAAATATATGAGAATAAAAGTATGTAAAATATCTCGTAAAGTATTCACTATTTTAGTAAATAACCCAAGTACTTTTATACGCTAAATGATCAGAGAAATCGATTTGTTAGAAAAATTATATGTTTTCGTTAAAAAAATAAAAATAAAAATTGTCAGAACTTTTTAAAAAACAAAACGGTCAAATAAATGTTAGTATCTTTTCTCTGTCTCGAAATCTTACAATTGTTGAAAATAGTTTTGTTCGTATCTTTCTTAATTTCCAAAGTATAAATTTCACATGTATTAATAAAAACAGGACACCCTTATATATGTGTGTATATATATGCATATATATACAATCTATATATTTATATATATATAGATATATATTGTATATATATACACACACTATATATATACTTTTATACATATACTTGATATTATATATATAATGCATATATATATATATATATATATATATATATATATATATATAATAACTATATATGTATATTTGATATTATATATCTATATAAAAATATAATATCAAGTTATATATTATGATGTGTGTTTATAATATTAATAACTTATAATAAGCATTAAATTATAATTATATAATGTATACAAACACTTATATAAAGACTATATTAAAATTTATAAATGTTTCTTATTGTATGTTCCTATCCACCACTGTAGAATTCTGTGTTTTCCAGTTTATTTGCGATATCCGACTTGGTAAGTGACATTCGAAGTTTGTTAGATTTCCACTACGGGACGTATTATCAACAAACCAGAGAGCGACACGCAGAAATGTGGTAAACACAATAATCAGTGTTCTGTAAACCGTCACCAAATCGATATCTATTCTGCACATACAGAATTTCCTCATCTCCGACGTATCGAAAATTTCAAACGTTATATATTTTCAAAATTTATATTGTACGATAAATAGTATAACTCACATCGTGTGAAGCGCTTAATATCACTTTTTGAGAAAAATGACATGGTTTGAGAACTTGAAGAAGTATCCTGTAAATTATAATAAATTCTTCCATCCTAATGTTTGTCACGTTTGTAAGTGGTCATACGGAGACGAGTTGAAATTATGTGCCGATTGCCACATGATCTCTTACTGCGGCGAGGAGCACAGAGTGCTGCATCGAGAGCAACACGAGAATATGTGCAAAGCTATAAGAGAAATGTGTAAGACAAAGAACTTATGGGACTCTCGCGGAATGACGTCGGACCAATGGCTCATATTTAGAAAAGAGAATGTACAAGTTATCCAGCTGATCCTACATCGCAAATTGGAGCCTTACGAGGAGCAAATGTTCTTGTTCGCGAAATCGTGTGGTATTTGTCGGCAGCAGGATAACCTGACAAGCACTTGTCCAAACTGCTTCTCCGTCAACACTTGCGTCGATCATGATTTAACTGATGTCAAGCACGACTGTCACTTTCTGAGGACAGCTCTGTGGTTGGATACCCACGAGCTCGAAAACACTTTACTAAAAATCCCGCAGTCTTACATGCCTAACTGTATGAATAAGAGCTTCCTTGTCGGTGGCATGAAATTATTCATTGATTTTTGTAGAACCCGCGACCAACTGAAGTTCACTTGGAGCGCTAATGATTATAATTACTCTGATTATTTATCAAAACCATTAACAGTGTTGAATGTTATAAGTAATGAGCAACTCGCATTCCGTGTAAATCATATAAGAAGCTTTGTCATTCATATTATAGACGGAATTTTCACGGATACTTGCTCATTATCCGCTTGGGAAGTCTTTTTGCATACACTAAACGAGGGGACAGAATTATTGATTATAATGATAGGAACAGAATTTAAAAACATACCATGGGATGTTTGTGATATGTGCCGTGCCGCGGGTAAAAAACTTAATTTTGAATATCGCGCAATATTAAACGAACAACACATACAACATTTGTTCTATGTTGAATCAGATTTGATAGTAGGATTTGACGCAGATCTTAGGAAATTTGAAGCTAGCATCATAAAAGCATTATTATTTAGTCAAAATTGTCTGTTAATTTTAACGGCTAAATCGAAAAGCAATGCGCAAGAAAATATCATGAAAATAAAGGAAGTATTGGGTATAAAACCCACCTATTTCGTCGAAAATGATTTCAGCAGTATTAGACCATATAGAGATTATGAGAACAATACGTTTTCTTCTAACAAATATTTAATTGTATATAATGATACGTACGTTCGAAACGATTCGCTTCAAGCTGGTAGCAGTCATCAAGTTTGACTGCATCATTACTTTGGTATTATTATTGTAAACAAGTTGTGATATGGATTGTTCTAACAAATAAATTGCGAACATTTATAATAAACCGTGTTCTGAGAAAGAATTGAAATATAATCACATTCTGATTTCTTCTATAAAAATATTATCTCGTTGTCGCATGTACGACGATCAAACATAACATTATACCTAAGTTGTATGTACTAAAAGTAACATGAATAGAAATGACCGGAGCAGTATCGCGAGCCACACGACTGCGCATGCGCGAGTCATGCAACGATAAAAGCCCTAAAGAAAAAAACCTGGTACATTCCTGTTAAAAGGATGATGTCAGCAAAAGTAATAAAAAAAGTAAGTAGCAAACTGTTTGTCAGATATAAATAGCAATGTCAGATTTAATATATAAAATTAACAGCCACGTTACTCTTTTTGAACCTAAAAAATTTTTCCAAGTCGGTTGGTAGTATTTTTACCTTGAGAACTTATCAGTTACTCACTTTTACAATCCCAAAAGTAGCAAAAGTAGCAAAAGTCTCAAGTAGTAAAAGAGGGCAATGAAAAATCAGTTGTTTTCTTTGTCTAATTGCCTAATTGGTGGAAAAAAGGGAAGAAGAGAAGCAGTCACACGATTCACTTACTTGTTAACGTGCCTCAATAGTTATGTTGAATAGTATTTTGCGCCGCCAGAAGCTTTGCAACTGTTCGTAAGACTTCCTGCTGAATGACACTTAGCGCTTTACAGTTTTCCAAAATGTTTACTAAGCAGTCCAGCATATTGTAAGTGTGCTGGGAAAAATGGAGACTGCTTAATAAATATGTTGAAAATGCGCAAATCGCCCGTGGCAATCAAAAGAAACTATTATTACAACAGTTGCAAAGCTGCTGCCAGCGCAACGGAAAGCGCTTACTGAGTTGCTTTTCCTGCCGAATGTAGCCATTGACATGAAGATGAAGAAGTGAAGAAAAAGAAGAAGAAGCAAAGCGCGTATGAGGTTTGTGCCTCTTCTTCGAACGAGATACATATTATGTCCCTCCTTTTCTCACTATGTCTAACTCTCATATCCTTCTATTTTATCTAGACCCGTATTAATCATTATCATTTAAAATTTATCTCAAGTGAGATACTCAGATTTTAATTCAGAGCTAAAGGAGAGTTTTTCAATTGAATCATGACTACAGATATAAATGTCACATATATAATATACAACTGAAAAACTTGGATCTAATTCTGAACATCACATGAAATAAGTTTCAGATGGTAACTCCCAAGTAGCGCATAAAAGCTTAAAACGGTTACGATAACATTGTTGTAGCTTAAATCGCAGCATTTTTGTCTAGCACAGCTATTGTAACTGTGACGTTTTGACAAAATTGTAACAGCAAAACAATATTTTCAGATTTTGAAAATGATGTCGCAGCCATTTAGCAACTATTTTTCTGTAAATGGGTTGTCATAGTCAAATTACAGCAGTCAAAATAAAAATAAACAAACTAATAAACAGAAAATGTTTTTCATATGTAATATGTAAATTAATGTTCTCACACACACACATACACAACACATATACAGTAAAAGTTAAATTTTAATTTTAAAATTAAACGTATAATATAAAAATATTGTGTGTGTTAAAAGAAAATTAAAAATAATTTTTTTATTTAACTGCAACTGAACTTCGGGCAAATCGAAACTGTCGCCTCATTAAAGTGAAGTCAAATTTAGAGGTTAATAGAAATTAATAGATCATTGCAAATTATTACAATTTATAACATATAAACATACTAGAGCGGACGCAAATTCATAAGTACATTAATTAACAGAACACAAATCCTTAAATAATAATTTTAGAACCGCATAAATGAATGCATGAGTCTGCATCGCTGATATATGTCAAATTTAATATATAAAATTAATAGCCACGTTACTCTTTTTGAATTTAAAAAATTTTTCCAAGTCGGTTAGTAGTATTTTTATCTTGAGAACTTATCAGTTACTCACTTTTACAATCCCAAAAATAGCAAGATGACTGAGCCTAGTTTAAACTTTTCTTTACAGTTGTTATCGTGCTTTTACAATCATTAATATAGCTAAAATATCTGTGACTGAATTATGGCTCTTGTTATTGTTATCATAGCGACTAACCAATTAAGGCAGTTAAAGTGACTGCGTCTCATTCTAGTTTTTCTGATAGCTGTCACAGCGATTTCACAGCTATTAATAGCTGTGGAGTCATTGCTGAATAGCTATAAATAGCTAAAACAGTGACTTATCGCAGCCTTTTTTAGATTTCTCAGCACTTTTGCAATTAAAAGTCCAGCAAAATAACATTGGCTGCCAAACAGCTGCAATTAAGGCTGGCAGGATGTCATACTAGCCACATTTTTGCTGTCGCAGCGAATATAACTAGACTGTATTACTTGAGCTATTAATACGGGCCCTACAGTATACCTACTATATGACCAAGAAAACATCTGATTCAGAGTATCTGTGCCCTTCAATCTCACAATCAGTTATGTCTATAACTAAGTCAGTGCGCAGTCAGTCTCCTTAAGGGGATGCTGAAGCTGAAAACTTTACCGGCAGAACACTGACATTTTTCTGCAAAATTTACGTCGTACTAGTTACACAGAATTACAAATGCTTTTACGCAACGAAAGTAGCAAAAATAAATAGGAGCACTGCTCGATATGTGACGAAAACGAAGAAGAAATTTTTAATGTAAAGTCTCAAGCTGTCAGATAGTGTAATATTTGCCTAATCCAAAAATCCCGCAGCTTGTACACACCGAAAGTGTGGATGCTCCAAACAGAAAAATTTTGAAGAACATTCCTCTACCTTCGCATCTGCATTTGGAAGCTTAAAATTATCGAAAAAAAGTTTGCAGAAAGATTTCTACCCGATGAAAAATTTGTCATGCAAAATTTTGTATGAAATTTGTCCATACATAATTATGTATAATTATATATAATCATATAAAATTATATATAATTATACACAATTTTGTATAACAATATGTATAATTACATATAAATTTATGCGTAATTATGTAAAATTATATATGAATTTATATATATAATTAAACATAATTATATATAATTATATATAATTATATATATAAATAGAATGTATGAACATGAATGCACAAATTTGATACATAATAATATATAATTATATATAATT